CACAGTACCACAGGAAGGATCATCCCCCATAGTAATGAGAATTAAGTTAAAATCCGATCACTTCGAAATTCCCCATGAGTTTATCTGTCCTTTTCTTTTAATCACTGTCCGTTTCGTGTTCCACTTGCGTGTCCACACGATTCAAATCTGCAGGCGCGTGCTAGGCTATGCTGCGAGAACAACAAGTAAGATAAAATATGATGCCTTGGCTAGGGCACGTGCTACAAATACTCGTTCAGTAATATATATATATATATATATATATATATATATATATATATATATGCCCCTTGCTGAGGCTGATGTTACATTCATAATGCTTCTTCATCGCAGTTGGGCTAAACCAGCTTACACTTAAACTAGGTCTTTTTAATGTGGGTAAGATTCATTATGCTTTATTTTTTTGTTCTGCGTATTTGCTAATTTTCTCCCAACTTACACACGTCGCTCACGCAAATTGTGGTAAACTTGCGTAATTTTATCGCGTGGTATTTTTTCAAATAGCTTTCAGACATTTTGTATTTATCACGGATTCACTTATAACCAATTTCTTCTATATGCTCATTTAGCGCGTATTTATGTCGTCCTATGTGTTTACTTTAATCGATATCGGCATTTCGAATGATTGGCTGTTGTTTGACATCCCAAGTGTGGCTGCGCTTGATGTGCATGTTGACAAGGTGCCTACCTGTCTATTACCCACTACCTCGTCCATACTGGCTCCAGGAGACAGTTGGTCGTTACTGGAGGGGACGGAGTGCACGGTCCTTGGGGTCGTGCTAGGCTCGAAGAGTGGTTCCATGCACTCAGTGTGGAGCGGACTACGGTCCAGCCACCGTCTTATGTGCATTTGATTCTCCAAATACAGCGTGCTTGTGTTTGCCTGTGAAGGAGTGTGGGCCGGCTCCGTTGACGAAACGTGGCTCCCATCCGCATGCCTCCCGGTCTTATTCCTTCGAGTTTACACTGGATATGTGGTGTGTGGATGGAGCTGTGGATGGTGCAGCGGAATCTATTCATGGCCCCTCTGTAGGCTCAGGCGTTCTTTGGTTGGCCACATTGACAGGCAAATCCGAAACCGGATGCCACCAACCATATATATGTATTTCACATACTTGATAAACAGTTCCTTTTTCAGAACAAATTAATAGGCGCAAAATTATCATGTTTTAGCAATATTACATGTTGACTCCAGTTCTTCGCCCTTTAGATTGTTTTCTGTTATCCTGATGTAGTTAATCTGGTGACTTGTCAAATGAGCATATGGATGATAACGATTCAAGATGTAAGAATCTGTCCAGTTTGATGTGGTATTACGTGGGGTTTTCACATGTCCTGGTTGCGGTTGATTTTCTTTCCCAGGGCGGCTTATCTGATGAGGCAAAGTTTGAACTGCATGGTTATTTTAGCTACTGGTATCCTTTGCGTAAACGTTTTGTTAGAGTCTATGATGATTATTGTATCTTATCTCTACGTCTTATAGTTTATGGTACGTTTTCTGTTGCAACAAATTGTAGAGGCGCATCAACTTTTGCTCTGGACGTCGCAGTCACAGTGGCTCGATGTGTAGTTGTTTGCAACCCTTGCGATAGTTTACACTGGATATGCTATTGAACAAACGTTTGATGAGTGACCTCTGTAAATCTTATGTAGTTTTCCTGTCTAACTTCCGCATGCTGCCACAGATGAATTCGCAGTAATCGAGAATAGGACGAGTTAGGGTTTTAAATAATTCCAATCTGGCAGGGGACCGCTATGTTCTATTCATTCGATGTTGGGTGGTATGATATTTTAGATGCGCTATCATTGCATTGGTAACGTGAAATAAACTTGCTGCTAAATGAGCTATGTGTCCTTTGTCCAGCTGATTTTCCATATTCGGGTACTTGTGACAAACACTATTTCTGACTCTTGACGTTATTAAACACTGCTGGTAGCTGGAGTCGATGGTATATTTGTTGTCACCTGGTCATGCCCATTCAGAAGTGCCTTGCTTCGCCGAAAATAAACTATTTATATATCCTAACCCAATCGCATATCCTTGCGTGTATTGTGCTGATGTTTATTTAATGTGATGCTGATCATGACATAGGGCAGCGAATATCGTGAAGCTGCGGTCTTACTGGTGTCTTCATGCTCTCGTCCGATGGCCAAACTTGATCATGTTCTGTTGGCGTCGTGCTTACTGCTTCGCCTCAGTAACTTATTTTTGGCATTTATGTTTTGCCTCAGTTCTCTAATTTTTCCTTTTACCCAATTATATGCTGTTTTCTCGTCATTGATACACACTGTCCTGCTGTTGATTATGATTATGGTGATAACACTTCATGTGCTGATGACTTGTTTGTGATAATCACTAGGTTATCGTCCAGGTTCAGATAATCTAATTTTCAATAAATATTCAGCCACTGAACTCTTGCACGCTGAAAACATATTGTCGTCATTGCTGTGCTTTTGTTCTCTTTGTGGAGGGCCAGGTCCCTTTTATTTGTTTATTGTCCTGATATCTACACCTGGGATATTTGCTCAACTGAAACAGTCCAAGGATCCCATTGTGCTCAAAGGACTTAACCAGTATGTTAAGTTTTACATAAAGCTTGCGGTAGCGAAAGCATCGATGCGGTTCTTTAATGATTGTATTTTACGTCGCGAATATCCGAATCCCGACGAATTCGAATTAATCCGATTAATGTGGTTTTGGAACGACTCACGTTGAACGAACGTGACACAATTACTTCGAAATTTGATTATCTGGTGCGTGTATTTCGTCATACTGGACAAACGACGCAGATGAACGCAAGCGATTCGAGATGTTTGTTCAACAAATAATCACCAAGCCAGAAGAAGAACGTCTAATCTCATTAGAGTGACAAGTTGGCACGACTAAGACAAGCACTTTATTTCCACCCTACCCATAAAAGTGCGTTCACAATTTTTCCTCCTTGGACCTGTGTAAGGCATTGTTAGAGGTACTTTCACTTGGTCCGAACTTTTGTTGTCCCTGTAGTTATTCAGGATAACTAGAATGAAAGGTTCAGTTTGATAATTTGTATTCTCAAGTGCCTACACTTACGCCCTCGTCAGCATTAGTGTCCGAGCATTTTAAATCTATCCTGCTTAATACATGTTATCAGTATCTGAAGCACAAACCGAAATTCAGGTATTTGCTGAAGAAAGACCACAGACGCTCTCAAAACACTCAAACAAAACGAGAATGTGCTACTTTCTAGGCCGGATAAAAGGGCAGGGATCGTTCTGATGGAGAAAGCTGACTATATTGACAAGCTGGAGGTCATCCTCAGCGATCGCGCGAGGCTTCGTAAACTGGAGAATGAGAGGGACAAAACAGCGGCAATAGAAAAGACAGTTACTGGGCTTCTGCGGCACCTGAAACACGAAAACTCGATTGAATCGACCACGTTCGAACCACTTCGACCCACGGGACGGTGATTCCGAGACTTTACGGCCTACCAAAGGTAAAGAGGGGCTTCCACTTAGACCCATATTGGACATGTGCAACTCACCTTACCACGCAACCGCTAAGTGGCTAGCCAAGCTTTTAGAGCCAGTGAGAAAAGTTTTAACCATGTATAGTCTTCGTGATACATTCAGCTTCTTAGACTCCATAAGACATCTTAACCTAACCGGAAGGAAGATGTTTTTCTTGGACGTATTGTCGCTCTTCACGAATGTTCCTTTAGAAGAGACAATAGATTATCTAGGTGACACCATTCGATCAGATTAGTTGGACATCTGCTTTTCGAATAATCGGTTGAGAAAGCTACTGTTACTGTGTGCTAGCAACATACGATTTCAGTTTAATGGGGTAATATACAGACAGGACGGTGTAGCGCTGGGCTCACCACTAAGACCGTAGCTGGTACATGTATTCATGAGTAAATTAGAAAACAACTACCTGAGCGGAGTCACTAGAGTATTATCTTATTACGGTCGATATGTGGATGATATATTTTTTGTGACAGACGGCCAGTTCTGCAGAGCAAATTTTATCCCATTTTAACTCAGCGCGACAACGTTAAGTTTACCCTGGAATCTGAACGTCATGGTACGGTGTCCTTCCTACACGTCCAAGTTAGCAGATCAGATGGGGCGACCCAATGCAGTGTGCACAGAAACACCACGTGAAATGGACAGTACATACATTTTGCCAGCTTTGTCCCACTAAACCAGAAGAGGAACTTGATTAGATGTTTAACCGAAGGGCAAAAAGGATATGTGGTGAGGACAAGGTTCCAGACGAGTTGAATTCCTTAGCTGGCATTGTTGAAACGGCTATCCGGAAAAGAATGTTCGGAGAAATATGGATTTCCGAGAATCGAGGGGTAAAACCGATGCGGTTAAAAAGAAATTGGTTTATCTGTCGTTGCCGTTCAAAAGGGATGGAATAGTGCAGGAAACGTCTAGAAGACTATCCGATGCCATAAACCGTACCTACTACGCAGCAAGCTTACGGCTAAGATTTACTTCAATGTCAATCGTAAGGCTTCAACTCAAGGACCGACTTCCTCGGTCAAGTACTTCTTTCTGTGTATACTTGTTCGTGTCGAGCAAGTTATATTGGAAGAACAACCAGGAGGCTGTCTGAGAACATCCGTGAGCATTGCCCGACTTGGTTGGGTGCAGGGGGAACAAAAACAGTGATGAGCTCCGTGTTGGCACATCTAGTTGATTTTAACCATCATATCGATGGGTACGAATGTTTTCAACCGATTTACCGCGTACCTGGATGCTAAACACGAGCTGTAAAATTGCACTTATTAGCCACGTCCGAAGCGATCGCCATACGCCTCCAGATCCCGTTTATTTCCGAATTTCTTGCCTTTTAACAGCTTCTGACAATTCATTTATCATAATCCTTCACACTAGCTTCCAGTCCATTGCTCTAACTTCCTTTTACTGAGTTATTTTTAAATTGCTTCATTGTTCTCATTTTGTTTTCATCTTCTATTGCGCGATAATGTTTTTCCATTATCGTCAAGGTATGTGAATGTTGGCGATTCTGTGCATCAGTTTGATCCCATTTGCGAGGTCCAAAGCGACAAGGCAACTGTGACTATTTCTAGTCGTTACGATGGCATTATTCGTGCACTTCATTTTGTTCCGCAAGAAGTCTGTGAAGTTGGCCAACCTTTGGTGGATATTGACGTGGTTGATGGTAATTCGGAATCGGAAACACCCACACACAGCTCACTCGCGGATGGCAACGGAAAAGTCACGAATGCTGTTGCATCATTGACGTCGGAAGCAGAAGCTGCACATTGTTTTAAAGACGAGCCACGCAACGTTCTGGCCACACCGAGCGTCCGCCGACTGGCGATGGAAAACAGTGTAAGTCATCAGCACCTTCCATTGCAGCAACGGAATCTGACCCATGTTCCCTCTTTACTTTCGTTATCCATACTTTTACGGCTTGTGGCGCGTTTCATGGTGTTTCTTAGATACCTTTTTCTGCTAGGCTCTGTTATACTCCACTGGGATGACTTGTAAGGATTTGAGCCCACTGCTTTCCTTCAGCACCTTAAGCGTGGTCCTCTATTCACGAACAAGTAACTGGTTATCGTCTGCAGAACATTCACTTAAAGATAAGCTTCTGTCCTATGCCGGTATGTTCCCAAATGACGTATCTGCTGCAATCATAGTCTGCTTGTCTCCTCAGGTACGAATCTAAGAATAGGACAGGAATTGTACGTTTTATTCCGTAACACTTGCTTTAAAAGTTTGGCGCAGAAGCCACTGAGTATCATCAACTATCGACTCCTGAACCCGTCGACAAATTCTCTGTCTATGGTTAGAAGGAAACAATCCTTTTCACTACAGGTCGTTGGCCTTCGAAGTGTATTTTTGTGGGACCCGATATGCTGCATACATACAGTTTCTCGCGACCACACCGATTATCCACTCATGATCATCGCCACGAGACTGGACCTTGACGTGCTGCGATAGTTTGCGTTTTCTCATGACCCATTGAGCTACACTGGGTGGCACTTTCCAAGTGCCTTCAGATCCACTCATTCCAGACAGGTCAATGGTTTGAAGTCGGACTAACTCCGTCTCACGATCATCTTCGGAGGATAGGGAGATGTCGATGGCCCTCTTCCTTTAAGACGAATGCAAGACATAAACAGATGTTCCTCTTACTTTCGTTTTATCTCCGCAGTAATGCACAGGGTCCGTATACAGGTTATTTTGTGGCACTTTAGGTGATTGCTGTTGAAGTTCAGGATTTGGTCGGTGTGTGTCGCTTTTCTGTAAACTGATGTTTCTAGTTCGCGTTCCATTGTTCTGATAACAAGCACGTCCAAAAAGGGTAGTTAGTTTTCCACCTCTTCTTCCATGGTGAAACGAACACCTTTCGTTGCAGTGTTAAGTAGGTCTTGTACAGTCTGTAAATAAATGTGTCAGCTGTACGCCGTAACGGCGCTTCGCTGCCGCACGACCACCACCAGTCGCGCGCGGGCTGAGTATACTGCGAGGATACCCACCCCTACGCGGATTCCAACCGGTGACCTTATGGTTGCAAACCAAACGTGCAGACCACTCGGCCACCGGCCGTATCGCACCCATACTTTCGGAATAATGACTGGCATTAGATCCTCTTCTAACCTCTTCATGACGACCTCAGCAATGAGTCCAGTTATGCGGGATCCCATTTTAGCTCCTCTCACTTGCTCAGAAGCACTCCGTTGAATTTGAAGTACTTGGTAGTACACAAGTCGAGGAGCTTACATATACTTTCAGTTCTCAGATTCCCAATCGTTTGCCATCCACTGTTCAGACGTTCTCTGATCTTTTCCTGCGCTATCTGTAAATTGATAGAGGTGAAAAGCGCGGTGACCTAAAGGGATACCATTACTTCGCACGCATTTGAGATTTTCCAAAAACTGATAAGCATTATTGATCGAGTATTGGGATTCACTGATAAAGCGTTTGAGGCGTTTCCAAAATTCTTTAGCCAAGTTGTAAGTTGGTGTACCTTGAGGTGATACTTTTTTTCGTAGCGGCGCACTCTCTTTGTGTACCTTCAGAAACCCATAAAACTGTGCGAGGTTTGGACCACGAGCCTTCATTCTATCATGTTCCCCTTTGTGAGTTGATTTAACTCGAAGTCTCTTTGGTGTCTTATTCACTTTATTCGTCAACTGTACTGTTGTTTCGTTCTCCATGCGTAGATAGGTTGTTGTGTCGGCCAGAAGATGACTTACGTTTTCAATATAATCAGTTTTGTCCATTATGACATTCGTACGTTCCTTGTCCGCATGCAGGATTACGATAGTTTCGTCGGCCTTCAAGGATTTTAGGACACTCTTCTCTTTGCCCGAGCTGCGCGCGCAAATTGCTCGGATAACATTTGCATATTTCTTGGGCACATATTTACTCAGCAGACAGTCCCAAAGGGCACGATTTACCAGATCGTAAGCACTTTCGATGTTGACAAATACGAAAACGGCCGCCAATATATGTGACGGTTTTCCAACAATTTATTTAAAGTGAAAATTTGATCGATACAGCCTCGATTTCGACGAAACCCGACTTACTGCTCAAGCATCTGACTCACCGGTGCCACTCAATCTGTGAAGAATGACAAAGGCAAGCAACTTGGTGGCGATGGAAATCAGGCTGTTTCCCCTATGGTTGTCGCATTCCGAACGTGAGCTTCCCTTGAAGATTTGAGCGATAACGGATAAGCTCCAGTCGGTCGGGATATTTTCTTGCTTCCACAGTTTCACTTATAACTCTTGCAAGTCTCCTGGATTTGTGTAGGGTTTTAGGAAGTTCTTCTGGTCCCGCGGCCTTGTTCAACTTCAACGGTCCAATTTCGCGTTTGACTTCTGGGCGGGATTGCGGATCCAAAAGGGAGCACAGCGATTACTGGACTGGGAGAAATCTGACAATTCCGGCCGAGTAAATTGCCTTTCAATTGCTCAGTTTAACGCTTCAAGCGTATTGACTAGCTGTGGATAGGCTGTCCATTCTCGTCACATGTAGTTTCACTAACACCAGCCCGTTTCCCATGTCAGACGGAATAACTGCCGATGGTTACCAACGACCGCGGCCACTTCCATCTCCGACGCACCCTGACGCCACGAGGATTCGCGGCCTCTCTTCAGGCTAGAACGCAGTGTCGCCCTGAAATCTTTGCGAGTCAGAATGTGTCAACGAACATCCAGACCTAGGCTGTATGGGGACCCAATACCCATGATGGCAATTCGATTTTCCATATGAGGATTTGCCTGCTGCTAATAAGGTCTAGTGAATGTGCTACCACTTACATTCAACTGAATTCATTGAGCGTTTACTCAAACTGAATGCTAGCCTACTTCGTTACGCATTCAGAACACCTGGTATCGCCAGCTGGCTTGTATCTATGCGCTCGTAGGCGTCGGCCAAAACGCCTCTACAGATCAGCGCATACAAGTACATGGTTAGTGTCCACATATGCTCCAAATCATTCGATAGTTTTGTACGCAGCCCTCTCCAACGTTAAGTGGTCGCAATGTGATCGATTTGCGTCAATGGCTGGTCCGAAGCTCGTGAGCTCCGTGTCACCTTCCGACGGGTGTTGAGTCGGAAGTTAGCGCTCGCGAGAAATAAGCGAGCATTTTCACACAAATGAAGTAACCATTCACCGTTAGCATTATTGGAACCTACACTGTGTTGTACGCCCAGTGGGCAGCTTTCTCTCTGAAGCGTTCCGATACCCAGTCAGCACTACAGTGTCCGTGCTTTTCTGTGGTGAAGGAACTCGTTCAGTTGGTGATAGTACTCCTCTTTCACCGAGTCATCGCTACACTTTGCGGAGGCGCGGGTAGCGATGACAAACAGACACCTATTTGCCCCGCGCGACTTCTAAGCTTTGAACGAGCCAGCCAGTCGGACCGCACATATGCGGCTACTGAATGGGATCCAGTCAACCAAAGAAGCTTCTGCCCGGGTACTCAGAGTAATGCCCATATCGGCTTGGACGGCGCTCTAAGCCGCATCATCTCCGGATAGAGGCAGTGGGAAAACATTACTATTGCCACCTGAAAAGGGATCGCAGAGTGAACATATAGCTCGAGTCTTGCAGGCGCCTTTTTTCCGATAAGCACCAGATATCAATCGAGAGAGCCTTTCAAGTTTCAGCAAGTGTTACCTGTTGACCGCTTTGTAACAATGTGCGTACGTTGAAGCATGTCGGCCAGTGGCCGAGTGGTCTGCGCACCTGGCTTGTAATTATCAGGTCGCTGGTTCAAATCCGCGTCGTGGCTGGCGTCCTCGCGTTATACTCAGCCCCCATGCGGCTAGAAGTGGTCGCGCGGCAGCGAAGCGTTATTACGGCTGACGATGTTTAGGCATGCTAATCAGTGAAAGGATCGAGGGTTGCAAATAGAAACAGATAGAACGGGCCTGTCCGCTTGGTTGAACATTGGCTTGTCAACATGGTAGGAGTGACACTCCGCGTTTGCCTATCTCATATGCTCAATAGTGTATTTTGCTGTCCACTGTCCGATGTTTTCCCCACCAACTTTTCAGTGCCTGCCGAAACTTGGAGAGCAATAACCTTTTTGGGCTATTGGACCGCGAGCTCTGTCTTATCATTTCTATCTCACTTTCGATACTGATAACGCCGATCGTTTCTGGCAACTTTGTGTCGACCACTAGACCATGGATTCAGCTACATTCCTATCGACTGCTAATGCATCCCTCGCCATTCGGATACCTTTAGCCCACACTAGGCGTTTTTTGTTTGACACCTCCTGCATCTTTTGTCCTGCTTCTGATAATGTTTTTCTCACTAACAATGGGGTTGGATCACGGGCTCTAATCTGTCCCACCTTTTCTTTCATTGTGTTGATCTCCGGTGTGAGAACGTTCATGAATATTGGGCAACAGGCCAGTCTGTCACGTGCCATGGGGTCTGTCGCCATCGGCGTTTACTGTTTTTACTAACCCTGGTTGCAGTACTGTAGTGTCTTGCGCTGCTGACTTTCCCTGCAAACGGCGCCAATATGACTTACTTCTATTCTGACGTCCACCGTGAACGTTGAATAACGCGTAGCCAAAGATCCCGAAATCAAAACAAGACGGATCACAAATACTACGGTACTATTAAAATATATACAGTTGATAATTGGGACATACTTCAATGGTTCAGTATCCCGGTGTATGCAAGTTGACAACAAGGTGTCAGTGAACAATAGGAGGGACGAGTTGTTTACGCCGGACAATCAAGGGAGCAAATCAACACACCTGAGTGCTACAAGTATTAAGAGTAATAGCGTTGACCAATCAAGGGACGGTCCAATCACAGGGTGAGAGTTTAATGGCATGCATAAACGTGGTGTTTG